GGGGGAGAAAGGTGAGGGATGCTAGCATCTTACCAGAATCTTTATTAGAGTTTTTTCCTTCACTGTTGTCTCTCTCACACGTGTCTCTCTCGTCATCCTCTGCCACTGAGGCAGGCTTGCCGGCTCCTTCAGCCTCCTCACTCTGTTCTTCTGTCAAGAAAAACAGACCAGTCAGTAGGATTGAAAACCCCAGAAACGTGCACACTAAAATCAACGTGACCATGGAAAAGCAGTGCTCTTTGTGAATCGTCTGCAGACATTTACTCCGAAAAGAGAAGATAAATTTATTCCAAAGTCTCTGTTAGAACCTGCTGACTGCACCAATGCAAATTTTCATCTAAGGGAACTTCTTTCACACCCATTGAGGAAATGCGCCTGTGCTAAATTAGAATAAGAGAAAGCATTTTAAGTACGGTCCAAGCTAGAAAAGATTTAACAAGAGGTGCACAGCAATTGTGTCCTCTTAACAGTAGAAACTTGTAAACTACAAACTACATAGGCCTACTGTTTCTGTGGACTTGGACCGATGACAGGACAAATCCATTTCTTGGAAAAAATTCTTGGTGAAATAATGTGATCGTGATGGGTTAAATGTAAGACAGGTGCTACCCCTGTCCTCAGTCCCCAGGCCCCAGGGGAATTTTTTGGAATTTGTCAGAGTAGGATCTCAAAACTGCAGTTACATCGGTGTGTGTGTGTGTGTGTGTGTGTGCGCGCGCGCGCGTGTGTGTTTCTATAGGGGGAGCTATACAGAGTACAGGACATAAGAAGGTATACTTCTTCTATGACAACCACGTCACCCCACACCTCATTCACGGGTTCACACCAGCTAGATTACATGGAAATCCTCATAGTAACTCAACCCTATTTAATTATTCTGTAAATCTTAGCTATGCTGCTGCTGGTGGATTAATCTGTTTATGCAGTTAGCCTCTATGCTGGGTCTGTGTAGCACTAATCCGTGAAAGGCCCACTGTTCTCTTTCATCCTGCGATCATTTGTCTCTCACTGTGCTGATGTCACATTTTAATGAATTTTTAGCAATCTGAGTAATGCCAGATAACCAGACTCGCAACTCCCCACAGCATGGCATGCTGTTTTCACTGCAGCACAAAAAATAAAAATCATATTCCCCTGTTCAGGTAGGAATTACATAAATTAGGAGAAGAAGGTAAAATGGGATTTGAAGCACCAGGCTGCTCAATTTCATAAAATCTTTAATGACCCTATAAATTAACCCTGGAAAGGCAAAAGGTCATCGACACACATTTGCATACACTCTTCTATTTGCTTTTGATAAGCAGAGCTTTTATGCAGAGAACATGATACAATTAACCCTTCAATAACCATACAAAACGCTGCTGCGGACATTTTAAGTGTCAAGCATTAACTGAAAATTACACACTGCATAAAATTTTCATTGCAAATGCTATAGTGATTGAAAGGGGAAATCGTGGCCCTCTCCACACCCCATGTTTTATTAATAACGTTCTGACAGCAGAATGAAATATCCACTGTCATATGTAGCAGCTGAGCACAAAAAAAAAAAAAAATGCTATTTAGTGCCTCACCGGCCGGCCCTGCTCTACAACTGTGCGAGCAGGAAACAACAGAGGGGGCACTTCTGGGCTCAGGGGGAAACTCCAAAAAGCCGAGGGGAAAACAAGGGCATTTAATAAATTTGAAACAAGAATTTGTTTCAACTGTGAGTCCTCAAAGGCACCACACAAATCCATTTATTCCGTAGTTGCACTCTGCCACTGCACAAAAGCAGAGCTGAGGTCCGTGGGGGAGGGGGTCAGTCATCTGAGGACTGTGGGGGAAGCTTCCCTTTCAGGCAAATACCTGTGAAATATTTCCTCTAAGAGGGGAGAATCAACACTTCTTAAGGCCCTAGCCTGCTTTCACCCCCCCATCAGCGATAATTACTGATCAAACACAGGCTCCCTCAGCCCAGCAGGGGCCAGCCTGGGTGGGGACCGTGGCCAGTTTGGTTTGGGGGGCTGGAAGGCTGAGGTCATGACTGGATGGGGCTGTTTCCCTGCCAAGTGCACACATGTGACATGACATCCAGTGTCAGGCCCTCCACCTACGACAGCCCATGGCAATTACTTTTCAACTTGTCCTGGGGAAGGGATGCAACACTTCTTTGAGTAGATTTACTGGACCTTTCCCCCAGGGCTGGAAAATGAAGTGTCAGAGTGCTACTGAGTGTCCTTATCTTGAGGGGACATAAAATTGTAAGGGCTATCGCAACTCACATTAATAAAACATAGCGTGTCAGGAGAAGAAAACAAAACTTATGAAGGCACTAAAAGACAAAACTACAGTATAATCTGGGTCTCATCGGACGGTTTTCGCAGGGTCTTCTTCATTTTCCAGGATGTGTTTTAAGTGTGAGAGAAATTCCCAGACATGCTCTTCTATACATCACTGTGGTGTCTGACCTCAGCCTGACCCTGGCAACAGTTTGAGAAATCTGAATGTGAACAAAGACTCTGTGTCAGCAGCAGGGAAAGATTGTGGGGTAGACGCTCCCCATCAACTTAATCGCAAACAGCAGTTCTGAGGCCATAACTTGGCCTGACTCTTCCAGGCCACAACTCATAACCTCTAGAGGCGGATTTGCCCGCACTGCCTCTGCTTCTGTGACTTTTTTCCCCTCTCTCTTTTCTGGTTCTTCCTTTGAAGTAGGCAGGCAATTAGCTCTAATGCGCAAGCAATTCAGACCTGTTTTGTGGTTTGGAAGGCGCAAGCTGTTTATTACAGGTAGGCTCTTTGGAGCCATAGAACTTTGCAAATTTCTAATCACGCAAAAAATAATCAAAGGGTGACTTATATACACCATAAAGTTTCATACAAGCCAGAAAAAAAAGAGCCTCACTTTCATTCGTAAAGAGAGCTTTTGAAATAAATTTGACATTCATTCTATAAATAGACTTTAGAGTCAAGAATATTAATGAGGAGAAACAGCTTTCTCTAGGAAAACCGTAGGCTGGATCTGGGGTTAAGGGAAGGAGTGTCTACTTTGTAATTTTCAAGTACCACATTTACCTCAACAGTAAAATGCCGTAAAATATAAGATGCTTTATAGGACACAAAATATGTATATTATATTAATGTATTCATATGTAATACTAATGTATTAAAGGAATGCCTTAAAACGAAGGAAAATTCCATAAAATTCCAATCCATAAAATTCCAAAATAAAGACACTAAGTTATATAAAATTCCAAAATGAAGATGTTAAAGCAGTTTTCATTTTCAATAGGTTTCTTCACTAACAGATTACAAATAACAATAATGAAAGTATTATAACATTTCATAACACTGTTGTATTTACAGAACATGTATTTTTAGTTAGTGTTTTGCCTTACGGAATATAAAAATACAATATTTATTCATATGTTAAACTTTACGACATGAATGTACTTAAGTTCAAAATGCATTTGGGTCCTGTAGAAATTTCCAATTTTCTTTTCTTTTTTTTCTTTTCTTCTCTCTTCTCTTCTCTTCTCTTCTCTTCTCTTCTCTTCTCTTCTCTCCTCTCTTTTCCTTTCCTTTCCTTTCCTTTCCTTTCCTTTCCTTTCCTTTCCTTTCCTTTTTAAACTTATTTACTTTGAGAGAGAGAGAGAGAGGGCACACACTGGTGTGTGCGTGAGTGGGGGAGGGGCAGAGAGGAAGAGACAGAATCCCAAGCAGGCTCTGTGCTGTCAGTGCAGAGCCCGACAAGGGGCTCTGTCTCACAAACCATAAGATCGTGACCTCAGCCGAAATCAAGAGTTGGGTCCTCCAGGTGCTCCATTCCCAGTTTTCAAATAAGTGATAGTACATTTTTTGTTTTTAAATGTTTCAAAATACTAGGAAGAAGAGAAAATACTACTGTAGTCTTATATTTTTCAAGTGTGTTACAATGACTTCCCCTGGCATTTTTATCATACCTAACATAATGATCTTATAAGTTACTCTACACATACACATAAACTATATTTCAAAGAAAGAAAAGTTTTTGAATAACTAGCTTAGAATACTTCCATTTGAATAATAAAAAATGACTGGAAAATCACTATTAACTTATTCTATAAAATTATACAATTTCTAAGCAAATCTATTTTGGTAGTAGCCCTCTGATCTAAGCACCAGCCAATTGTGCTTGGTTCCCATTGTTCTTCTATACAATTAGGTTTGGGAACCCTCTGAGTTGTCTGAGGAAAACACTGCATACTTTTTAAGCCCAAGGAGGAATCATGTAAAGAGGAAGCAGAGGAGAGTAACTTCAACACTTTATATATGAGTTTTAATTTTAGCTATTGAGCATCTACTCTAGATACCTAGCTTATAAGAATTCTTTCCTGAACTCCCCCATTGTCTCTCTGCCCAGTCCTACTCCAACCAAATCTATCCTCAGTTTGATCGATTTAAACCCAACTTCCCCACTTAAAATCTTAGAGTATCTAAAATCTAAAAGCTCAATCTTTCATACATGGTAAGAATACCTTCAAGATACCTGGTCCCTATCTACCACCCCACTCTCATCTTTCTTTCCTTCCTGCCCACTTAATTTCGAAAACAGTCTTCTCAAACGTTAGGGCACCAGAATCACATGGAAGACTTGTTAAAACAAAGACTCGACATCTCTAAGCTCCCAGGTGATGCTGTACTACTGGTCCAATGGCCGTATTTCGTGAACCCACTGTTCTAGAAACATGTAACCATTATTAATGCCCTCTTCCTCCCCTGTAAGATATGCCATTATATTTTCTTGTCTTATCTAGAACAATTTATTACCACTGTATAATTGCCACTTTTCCTTCAAGCACAGCATGGGAAATATCAGTTTCATCATCCATAAAAATGGGGTTAATAACCCCTGCCTCATAGGTTTGTTCTAAGATAATGAATAAAAATCAGTCAGTGCAGAGCTTAACATAAAGTAAGTACTAAAAATGCTACCCATGTTATTACTAGTGTTATTAATTACTTCTTTCTCCAAAAACTCTTCCCTGAATGTTGAACAAAGATTAATGGTTCTAGATACATTTTTTAATTTTTTAAAATTTATTTTTTGCTTTTATTTTCTTATGCATTGATGTAAAAAAACCTGACCCTAAGATATGAAAATTATCTGGGTATAGCCTACTTCCCCTAATAGGTACATCTTTACTGAAAACAGTAATTATATTTTTTATTTTTGTGCCAGAAGCACCTAGAACAGTGCCTGGAATATAATTTTTTTTTAATGTTTACTTATTTTTGAGAGAGAGAGGCAGACTGCAAATGGGGGAAGGGCAGCGAGAGAGGGAGACACAGAATCAGAAGCAGGCTCCAGGCTCTGAGCTATCAGCACAAAGCCCGACACGGGACTCAAACCCACGAACTGTGAGATCATGACCTGAGCCGAAGTCAGACGCTTAACTGACTGAGCCACCCAGGCGTCCCAACAGTGCCTGGAATACAGAAGGTAGGCAATACTTAGTAGTTGGAACACTAAATTCAATTTAGGAAGCAAAATTATGAGAAGAAAAGGAGGAGTCCAGATTCTATTCCATTCTTCTATTTCCCTTCAATAAAACTTTAAGAAGGTACTTGTTTGATTTTGGCCTTGTTTGTTTGTTTGCATTTTCTCTTTCTCTACTAAATCACATTTATTATTATTCAACTCTCCAGTCAGGCTTCAAATCGACTGGTCTTCGCAGAGCCACTAAGGACTTCCATGCTGTGAAATGCGGTGACCACTTTTCCATCTGCATATTACTTAACCTGGCTCAGCAGAAGTTACTATGCCCTTGCCCTTGAAAAAAAGCCCCCCTCTTGAATTTTATTGCATCAGACTGTTGTGACTTTGTTCTACCTCTCTGAAAGTTCCCTCTTATTCCCCTTTGCTGAGGCCTCCTCCACTTAAAATCTAAATATTGGACGGGTGCCTGGATGGCTCAGTTGGTTAAACATCCGATTTTTGACTTTGGCTTGAGTCAGGATCTAATGGTTTGTGAGATCGAGCCCTGTGGTCGGGCTTTGTCCTGTCAGAATGGAGCCTGTTAGTGATTCTCTCTCACTCTCTCTCTCTCTCTCTCTCTCTCTGCCCCTCCCCCTAACTCTTTCTCAGATAAATAAATGTAAAAAAAAATCTAAATATTGACGTGTCTCCAGCGCTGGCTTGAAGCCCTATTGTCTTCTCTATCTACAAAGAGAGTTTAATTTGAGGAAAAATAATAATCTTCCTAGATGATAGCATCCAGATCCCTTACTTTAAATTTGTATCTCCATTTGGATGTCTAGAAGATATACCAACTTCATGTGCCTAATTTTAACTTTTGCCCCCCCCAACACAACTCACTCTGTTTCACCCCAATCTCTCCATCTTAGTTAATGGTGCCACCACCATCGACCGAAGCAAGAGTCTTCCTTGACTCTTCTCTTTCTCTCATCGGCATACAATCTATTAGCAAGTTCTGTTATCTCAAATTCCAAAACACTTAGTACACACTAAATCTGTCTATTTCTCTAGATTTCCATTGTCAGTACCCTCATCTCTTACCTGGATTTTGAAATGGTTTAATAATGAGATAAGACTTGCTCCTGCTTTCCTACAACTTATGCTGCACATCTTAATAAAAGCAAGCTATTCTCCTACTTGAACCCTGCCACACTTCCTATTTCACTTAGAATAATGCACCAACTTCTTACTATGGCTGAAGTGACCAGGCCTTTGGCTACCTTTATGACTGCACCTTATGCCACTCCCCTACTCATTCATTAACCTCTCCACATTAGCTGTCTTTCTCTTCCTGGAACATGACCAACTTCTTCCCACCTCTACCTGAAAGGCATTTCCCCAGACTCTGGCTCCTTCTCATTATTTAGGACTCAGTTCACCTGTCATTTCCTCAGAGAACTTCTCTGACCATTACTTTTTTTTTTTTTTTAAGTTTATTCAGTTTGAGAGAGAGAAAAAGGGTGCACCAGGGCAGGGGCAGAGAGAGAGGAGGGAGAGAGAATACCAAGCAGGCTCCATGCTGTCAGCGCAGAGCCCAATGTAGGGCTCAATCCCACGAACCTTGAGATCATGACCTGAGCCAAAATCAAGAGTCAGAAGCATTAACCGACTGAGCCACACAGGTGCCCCTCTGACCACTGCTTCTAAAGGGGTGCATCATCTATCATAAAGGTGTGATTCTGAGACTTTAGTGGGAATCACATCACCTGGACGGCTTGTTACCTACAGATTGCCAGGCTGCATCCTCAGTGTTTCTGATTCTGTAAATCTAGGATGGGGGGCCAAGAACTTGAATTCTTACAATTCCCAGTTTGTGCTGATGCTTTGAGTTTGTTTGAGCACGCTTTGAGAACCTTTGCTGTAGCACATTACCTCTTTCACTTCATTACATTTACTGAAATCTGAAAATAACTTATTTATTTGTATAGAAATATCATCTAAAAACTGAGAGAACTCATCTGTCTTATTCATGACCGATGCCCAACAGTCTCTGGCACTAATATTCTGAGTAAAATCGATGATTCCTAGTTTTCTTCTTTGCGATAACTATGTCTATGGCAGGATGGCATCAGTTAAGATGGGGGAGAAGAAACAGTTTCGCCAAAAAGAGAAATTCCACTTGGAATTTGTTGTATCAGACTTTCCTGTAGAACATCTCCATGGAAATATCCAGAAATCCCGAGAGTATCTCAGTATAAAGCTTCTCAGAGACCGAGGTGAAGGTGTAGATTTCGGTGCCCTTGTTTACAAAGCAACAAATAAATTTATTGACAGAGAATGTCTTCCTTTTAGTTTGATATTTTTGTCATAGTCTTGATTTTTGGCCTATTGCTTCCAAACTGATTATTAATGAAATCCTTTGATTGGCTTGAGGTGAGGGAGGCAAACTGGTGTATGCTATTTTATTTTAAATATGCTCTCTAGTTTTCTAGGGGAAAATAATACAAAAAATGAAAAAGAATTCATGAGAATGAATAGGTGAAGGTAAACTTAATGTTAAAGAATTTAAAAAAAATTAATGTTTATTTATTTTTGAGAGAGACAGAGCATGAGCAGGGGAGACGCAGAGAGAGCGGGAGACACAGAATCTGAAACAGGCTCCAGGCTCTGAGCTGTCAGCACAGAGCCCGACACGGGGCTCGAACTCACGGACTGTGAGATCATGACCTGAGCCAAAGTCGGACGCCTAACCAACTGAACCACCCAGGCATCCCTACCTTTAAAGAATTTTTAAAGAGAGAAGTCCTGACTTTATATTGAAGGAACGTTTTCACCTGCAAAAAAGTATTTCAGTTCTCTATTATGAATGCAAAGGACTTTTTATAACCATTTTGGCACATGATTATTTTATAATCATATATGGCACATTATTATTCCAATTGTATAAATCTGATAATTGTGATCATACTTATATAGCAGGAATCAATGAGGTGCGTCATGGCACCATGGGTGGATTTCCTCTTAAAGTATCTGAATATAGTGCAGCTAAGAAAGCATAGCTGCCATTTTTTTTTAACACACACACACACACACACACACACACACACACACACTCAATGCAAGGGACTAATAAATGTGCTGATATGACTATACAAAGTCCAGTCAACTCATTAATTACCAAAAACAACTCCACTAACTAATTTGGGGAAAAACAGTATTTGGCTTCTTGACTTAGAGTTTGTATAAAACTGACCACTTAGGTGAAATTTGATAGTGTATGAATGTGGATGTGAGAAATTATCCTGCAGAAGTTACTTGTTCTTTAAAATGTTACTTTGTATATGTGTCCAAATATCTGGCATATTTAATTTTGCTTTTTAACTTACTTGTATAAGAGATCTGATCAGATCTAATTAGAGCACTTCCAGAGACACATTTCATACATAAATTACGAGAGTCACAAGTGGAACACAGTTAGGACCACGAGATTTCGAGAAGGAGTAGACCAGTTACCTGAGGTTGCTCTCAACTGCTGCTCCGGAAGATCATCCTCACAGGTCCTGGCTCCCAAAGAGGCAGTTTCTGCAGACGACATTAGAATGAAAAGTAATGAGCATCCCACGTCCAGCTCTGCAGTCACAGCCAGTATCCCAAGAACCCCAAATGTGGCTTTCAGAGAAATTAGCACCAGGTGGGGCTCAGGTGAGACTCCAGGACACCTTACCTTCCAGTGAACAGTGGTTAGCAAAATGAGTCCAGAGAGCAGTAAGCTTCGATCAAATTCTCGAGCCCCAGCACACAACGAATGCAATACAGACAAAATACGGAAGCGGGGAGGTTCGTCCTGATTTTTACTTCTTGGATATTTGGCCAGACCTCCATTATGGGATCATGTGTTATAATAACAATGGCACATTGCATACATTATGAGCATACTGTAACTTCTCTGTCGAGACAGTGAAAAAGAAAAAAACAAAACCAAAAGACCCCCCAAAACTTCAATACATGATAGCTGATGTGAGAGGCCAAAGCAAAAACGCAATCACCTGAGGAAACCTGAAGACTATGTTCAAGTCATCAACAAATCCACATCTTCATTCCGATCTTTTATTTGAGCTCCAGAGCAGAAGTACCAACAAGGCCCTGGTTTGCCAACCTCAACCCCAAGCACAAATCAGTATTTTCACCTATCTCTGTTCTTCCTTTGTGCTCCCTGTTGTGCAGAAATCCATACAAAATGACTGGACGACAGAAATCACTCTCAACCTCTCATTCTATCTCTACACTGAGTCCTCCCATGCTGTTGATGCTATGGGAGTGTCTCTTGTCATGTGTGTTTCTCTATTCCTCTGTCATCTTCTCTTTCCTGACAAGTTCAGTAGCCTGCACAACAGTCTTCCTGCCTTGAATTCCTTGTCTTGTCAGTCTAACCTCTTACAATACTGCGAGAACTCTTTTTCCAGAATGCAGAATTGCCTAAATTCCAGTCCTGGTTCCATGAATTTCTAGGTAAGGGTATCAATTAGGCATATAACTCAACCTTTCTCAGCCTCAATTCTTTTCTGATATGCAGCTATAATTGTATAAACAGTCAACAATTATAAGAAAAAATAATATACATAAAGACATCACATGATATGGTCTTCAAAGTGAGAAAAGGCTGGATTATATTAAGAGGTTGAAAGGTCACCACACAATTCTTGCACTGCCAAAGAGACTCATGTTTAATACTTCTGGGCACTAGCATCTCTGGTTGATTCTGAAGCCTTTAATTAAACAAATAATTACCCTTGGAAATAGAAGTGCACACCAAGGCATTATTATTGCATTTACTGATTGTTTTCCCTATTATGTACACCACCTCTAGCCTCTGGTGGTCACCTATTTAAAGAGAATGATAATAAACCCTCAGTGTCTTTGCCCCAATAACACCAAAACACATTATGGGTTGTTTTTTTGTTTGTTTTTGCTTTTTTGTTTTTCTTTTTTTGTAGCCATATCTTAAATTAGTCTTGAAGGGAAGAATTTATCCTAGTTCTTGCTTAGAAATCCGGATAACTTCCAAACAGATCACAGTATTGATATCCACCCAATATGTCGTTCAAGAAACCCACCTTCTTCCTCTTGGCAACCTCTCGGATCTTTATGCTTTGACCAATGCTGTTCCTTTTATTTGTGAATGTCTTTTGGTTCTTCTCCTATGAACCTTATTTTTCCCTCAAAACCTAAAGTAAGTGCTACCTTCTCTGTGCTCCCATAACAATTAGCTTATAAATACGTTTCAGCACTTATGATGTATTATGATAATTTTTTAGATGATTCATGCATATTTCCCCAATAAATTGTGTGTTCCTTAAGAACTTTCCTCTTCATAAATTCTCAACTAAGGACAAAGCGAGGCATGTCAAAGTCACCAGGCCACTTCTGTTCACCATACAAATCTGCACCCTATATGTGGAATCAGATGAACCTCAAGATGAGAATTTCATAAAAGCTTCCCAGAGCTTCAAGACTCTAAATTCACAACCCATTCAATTATGCCAAACACCGATACTAATTTCTGTTGCATAGACAGATCTTCCTCCACTTATGATGGGGTTAAGTCACCATGAATGCATTATAAGTTGAAAATACCTCAAGTCGGAAATGCTGTTGATACAGGTAACCTACTGAACATCATAGTTCAACCTAACCTATCCTGAAAGTGCTCGGAACACTTACAGTAGCCAGCAGTTGGGCAAAATCGTCTAACACAAAGCCTCTTTTTATAATGAAGTGTTGAATATCTCCTGAAATGTATTGGATACTGTACTGACAGTGAAATACAGGATGGTTGGGTGGTCACAGAACGGTTGCAAGTTTATTGGTTGTTTACCCTCCAATGGGATTGCCTGGCTGATTGGGAGCTGGGGCTCACTGCCATTTTCCAGCACGATGAGGGAGAATCTTCCCACATATGTTTACCCCGGGAAAAGATAGAAATTCAAAATTCAGAGTATGGTTTCTATCGAATGCTTATCACTTTCGACCACCATAAAGTCGAAACACGTTACATTGAACCATCATAAGTCAGAGACTATCTGTATTAATGGGTGTATGTGTGTGTGTAAAACCATTTCTTTCACTCTTTTCTAAGAAAAAAATTAATCAATTTTTTGATAAAAAATAATTAATCAAAGGATACTTACCATTCCAAACATGACTATGTGCATGTGCGTGCACACACACACACACACACCACACACACACTTCAATGTATCAGACACCTACTTAAATAGATATCAGTAGTACCTAAGTAAATTTGACCAAATGACTGCCACTCATTTAAGATTCACGAAAATAAAACTTTAAAAATAACAACTTAAAAAATATATTTCTGGGGGTGCCTGGGTGGCTCAGTTGGTTAAGCGTCCAACTTCAACTCAGGTCAGGATCTCACGGTCCGTGAGTTCGAGCCCCGCGTCAAGCTCTGGGCTGCCGGCTCAGAGCCTGGAGCCTGCTTCCGATTCTGTCTCCCTCTCTCTCTGCCCCTCCCCTGTTCATGCTCTGTCTCTCTCTGTCTCAAAAATAAATAAACGTTAAAAAAATTTTAAAAAAATGTATTTCTGGCAGTACTGTGATGACCTATCCCTATAAAAACAGTCATGTAATCCTCATGACTTTATCATGAGGTAAAATTAACTTGTCCCAGGTCCCCAAGTTTGAAACTGACAGTGCCCGGGATGGAATATGGTTCAGGCTGATATAAAGGTTGTGGAAGTCTCGATGTGTCCCGTTGAAATACTATAGTATTAAGGAGCCTTTAAAGGTTTTCCTAGTCTTAACCAAGTCCTGAAATCAAGGTGGGTGGGTGGCGGAAGAAAGTAACTTTCCCTAGTCTTGTAATAATTCTGATTTTTCATAAAACATTACATTCCTTGAATATACAACATAACTCAATAATAGTTTGGTGCCACATTGAAATCATTTTATTTGAGTGATTTAAGGAAATGTACCAATGTCAAAACCAGAAACGGTTATTTAATCTCACAAATTAGGATATGTGGTACTTGGAGACTGTTCTAGTGAGAGCGACTTGTGCAAACAATTTTATAAAGGGATGCGGTTCAGAATGCCACAGATTATTTTTTATGTTTTCAACAATGTTGCTCCCTTTATACAAATGATATAAATATTTAAATAAAGGAGCTTTTAACCTAACAAATGAACTGATTAATCTATACTTACTTCTCTGCCTGTGTAAATGAAATGTTTAAAACCTAGTAATGATACATAGCAACTTTCAATATTTCACTTTAATAATTGCTCTGTAATAACAAATTTGACTGCTGTTAACACAATCTGTCTCTTTGCTGGTGATTTAATTAGATTACTAATTTGTGTTCTCTAGCACCTGACCTTTCTTATTTAATACTATTTAAAATTAATACCACTGACAATTTATCCGGTATTCTACTCTCTTCTGTCAATTTGGTGATGATCACACATTTGAAAATGGTACCAAATTACTCTATTTTTATTAACACAATGAGGGAGTAATTGGCCCTATTTTCTGTGGAATAGTATATCGATAATCACAATCACTATCATCAACAACAACATGTCACCGAGTATTTGCTCTGTGCCAGGTACTGGCTGATGCTCTTTCTATGCATTGGAACACCCCTAGCAAGTGGTGAGCCATGATTTGAACCCATGAAGTTTTATTTCAGGGATAGTTATCTTAACCGCAATGATATACTAGGCCGTATTTTTAAAATCCTAAAAGTCGCTTTTCTTGTGATTCTGAAATTATTTCTGGTGTTCATTTTTCTCATTTGGCTTGGATTCTGCTAACCACCTATTCCCCCAGCCCAACCCAAATGGTTACATCTCCAATGACAACATTTAAAAACTGAAATTCGGTGGGGGGGGGAGTTCCTGTTCCCTCTAATTATGAGACAGAAGGTTCTCATAGCTCTCTCTCATTTCCTTACACTTGCCACACCTACTCATAAGCTTATCCATTCCATTACTCCTTTTCACCTTTCCCTTCCCTTATATGAAGAATTATTTTGGGAAATAGGCTGACAACTTTTAGGCATTTCATCTTAGTTCAAAAATGATCAAGTTTTTATCTGTGAAATCCTTTTTTTCCTGCTAAATGGAATAATATATATTTTTTAATTATAATCAGTACAAATCTAATGATCAGGGAAAGAGCTGGAATTTCAATTTTTTGAAACAGTCTAGGTATATAAATAGAGAATTCTAAGCTTAAGAATGTTGTTGTCATTTTGGGAATAATTCTAACCTAATCTGCACTTTTGATCATAACAGCCCTTAGCTCTTTATATTCCTATTGGCTAAATTTGGGAAATATTTGGTACAAATTCAGGAAATTTTTAAAATATTGGGTGAATGTTTATGCTTCCAAATATAGTACTGAGACAAAATTGCCTACAAAACTTCCACATCTCATCTCTTCCCACCGATCTGCTAATGCATTAAATAATAAAGTGTATCGCTATTTTAGCAAAATGTGTAGCACATAAAATGAAATATATACCAATACACAGAATAAATATTAAACCAACTAGTCT